TTTTTTTTGTCATGAGGTGTACATATCTGTGGTGTTTCTTCAGGCCTCGGCGACTATACGAGGACTCTTACCACGCCCCACGCATAGCATCAGCAACGCAAATAATCAATCCGGCATTGTTTGTCTATAGAGTATGTTTGAATTGATGTGGAGAATGATGTCTGTATTAATATATTTTCTCATCTTATCTTTCTCTTTCTCTTTCTCTAAAATCCTGCTATTTTAATCTTATTTTATTTCTACTTTATTTTATTTTATTTTTTATTTTTATATATATATATTGTTAGGTATGATTGTAGAGTATCAATTGACGATCGTCGTCTAGACTCCGTTGGGTTTAGCGGTCTGGTTGCGGATGGAAGTACGGAGTAGGTTAGTCGCCGCAACGTCATTGTCTGTAGGTATCTACTAGGTAGTAGACAGGCATGTTAGGTAGAAGGTTGAAAGGTAAAATGAAAGTCAAGGCAGGAGGAACAGCGCATGATGAGGTAACTGCCCGCTGTCCAGCCTTTCTTTCCCCTCACAACGATTCGACCTCTCTTCTCTTCTGCCCTTGACCACCAGAACGAAACGAAAGAACATCGGGAGAATCGAACCCATCTTCTACTACCTGGTGAGTAACCTACCAGGTGAGTGCCCAGAGCGTCGTTGTCTGCCTGCCTGCCTGCCTGCCTGCCGTGTCTACCCTTGTCATGTGCCCCACCTCGATCTACTCCATTCCTCAGTTGCATTCTCACGATCTCTCTCACTCTCACTCTCACTCTCTCTTTCCCTCTTTCCTCTTCTTCCTCAAGTCATCCTCTGTCTGGATTCCATCCCTCACGGTCATGATCTTCGTTCTTATATTTCTACAAGAATATTACTAAACCTATGCGATCCACTCCGTTCTAGGAAACCACCTTATCTGAGTTCCGCCCGGGCCCGAGAACCACTACTGTCCACCCTTCCCCACCCTTAACGCCCTGAGTAGTTCGTCCCGCGCGTCATCGGGCATCTTCTCTCACTGCTCAGGCTGAACTTGACTCCATCCCCGAGGACGTCACCTTGACCTTTCATCAGAAGAAAAGAGAAACAGAGACTAAGGGAACAAAGAAAAGGAATATAAACGAAAATTAAAGAAAAAAGAAATAGGCAGGCTTCCTTGGAGAAGTTAACGTATTCTCCCGCTGATCTTCAATTTACTATCCTACCCTTTCTGAAACGGCCTAGTCGACGTCCCATTGCATTCGATCGGAAAGCTTACGTCCTAACGTCTTCTTTGGGCCTGGCTTGACCTTTTTGGCTGCTCCTAATATATGACACTCTACACTCGGGCGATATGACTGACTCTCCAAAGCCTCCTTCCAGGCGTCCCTCCCTCACCTCTTCCACTTCACATCTACGCTATCCCACCTTCCCCCCGCTGAGCGGATCCGTGGAAGAGTGGCTGTCTCGCTCGAGACCCATCAACATGACATCAACGCCTCCGTCCAAGTCGCTGAGCGAGAGTTGGACCACCCTGAGTGTCTCGGATGCTCACTCCGAGGACGGTGGCCGTTCCGAACAGACGGACGTCGGCTCCCTCATCGATCAGCCCGGTCCCGACGACGTGGCCAGTCTTGATGGCCAGTATACTCCCAGCGACACCGACGGGAATGCCGACGATGGTGAGGACGGAGAGAGCTACGACTCGAAGAGCAACGCCTCGGATTCACAGGAGCTGCCCTCGGCGTTCCCCCGGCTCGGGGCGTCGATTGAAGACAGCCGCCTGACCACGCAGACGGCATTCCGCCATCCCAGCGAGTCGATCGAGTTCGTGGAGCCCGACCACTGGCCCGAGATCGAACGCGTCGAGCTAAAGCACACCGTTCGAATCTTTGGCGGCGTCGAGGCTGTAGAGCTGAAAGCTCAACTTCCCTTCAATCTGCAGGACTCCGTCCTGACCGCCACGGTGCAGCAGACGATGACCAAGAAGAACCTCGACACCGACAAGCCCTTCCGCGTGCTGTACGTCGGGAGCTCGGAATACCGCAACATCATTCTTGACAAGATGGGAGACGTTCTCGTGTCCAGCACCAATGGCGGCAACTCGGAGAGTACCTCGACCGAGTCCTCCAGGTATCACGTTGTCCCGACGTCGTTTGGCGCAGGCGCGGTCCCGAATTTTGCGGAGCTTCTTCCCATCCATGTGCAACTGGTCGTGGATGAGTGTGTGGGGGCTGCGTCAGACCTGCCGATCGACAAACCGAGCACCATTAGTATGGACTTCAAGAATCGACCTTCGTGCACGTCGTCGTGGACCGGCAGCGAATACTGCGTGTCTTCCACCAGCGAATGGGTCCTGCCCGACATAGCCATCCTTTTCTTGTCCACCTTGGACACCCCGAGAGCCGTGGAGACCCAAAAGCTGGCACGGATCTTCATGGAGAGACACGGGGTCCCCACCATGGTTATCTCGGAGAGCCCGCTATGGAAAATGACGAGGGAGTCGATCCCGCTCAACTTTTACAGCCTTCACATGTGTGTGGAATCCCGCCATCCGCTCACCGGCAAGAGCACGGTTGTGAAGCGCTATCCCATCGACCTGCACACGTTTGAGAGTATCACCCCGGGACAACTGAACCGAAACCTTGCCTGCTTGGTTAGCGCTTACCCCAAGAAAGACAACTTGATGGCCTTTTCGCATACCCACGTGTCACCACACAAACCGTCTTTCGGTCTGGGGGAGTATACAAAGTACCTGTCGCTCGATTATCACCTGGGCGACGACCCCAGCCTCTCGTCGGTGCTGCGACTGTTGCTCCTCGTGGTATTCAGCGCCGTAACGGTCCTTTGGGGGCATTTGGCCCTGCAGGGGGCAGTGATGTACTCCTCGCAAGCCTTCCCGGGGTCTGCTGTTTCGAATGTGTCATCCGATGTGCCCAGCAGCGTGCCGACCACCGGTATCGTTCCGGCGGACCAACCGACACAGGTGTCGCATGACATATCGACGCCCGGCAGTGCCGTGCAGCCTTCGGGAGAGCGACGCCGCAATCGGTCCCCGATCGAGGAATTCATCGAAGGCACACTGTCCCCATGGGAGCAACCAGAGCGGCCCGGTGGCTTTGAGATTCAGGCAGTCGGCGATTGTCACCTGGTGGTGAAACCACCCGCCAAACCCGCTGGAAAGAAGCACCCGAAATTCAACGTCAAGGTCACGCGCGGTGGACAGCCTCTTGCCTATGAGCTGTCCCGGCTGTTCGAAGGGGTCTATTCGCTCAAGTTGGACCGAAGCGACGCCTACGGGGTGGTGGACGTCACCATCACCACCAACACGCGACCTTATATCAACCAGACCACCCCGGTCGACTTTGGCACGCCGTGGCTCAAAATTGCCAATTGGAAGCGAGCAGCGCATGCCATCTCGTCGCAGATCCTGAGGGACTTTACCACTGCCCAGACGGGGCTGACCGAAGTGTACGGACGATTCTCCACCGACGTCCAAGTGCTCATGGGCGATGTGGTGAAACGCGCGCATGTGCTCCGCCGAGACGCGGACACCATCCGGCACGACTCCTACCTTCTGGGCCTGGATACGCGGGAGAAGATGCTGTCGCGGTCCAAACAACTGTCCGAGGCGGTGCGACGGACGGCCGTCGAGCCCTTCCTCGCCGCGTCGTCGGCGCTGCAGGGCCACGGCGACCGCGTCCACCGGGAGGCCCTGGGGCTCATGAGCAGCACGTGGGATCGGATCAGCACGTCAGCGCCGGAGTTCGACCTCACGTCCATGATGGAGCATCTTCGGAATGCGAAGAAATGCAAGACGTTGGACACGGCGCAGCGGCGGGCGAAGGGCCTGGTGAAACAGAAGAAGTGCGGGCACTCTGGATGTTCTTGATTGAGATTCTTTATTCGTATTTTGATATTGGGCGTTGAATCTGCGGATGTTGTAGCTGGATGAGCTTGTGTGGTTTTATTCCTTGGCCTTCCTGGGCCTGTTCACAGCTAATGGATCTTTCATTCTTTCTTTCGTCTTCTCTCGTTATCTCTCTCTTTCTCTATACTTTCTTGTAGGGTGGAAATGTACCTCTGGGTCACATCCAATACCTTTCTTTCTTTTCATTCATATTTCAGTGAAAGGCTTCAACCAGGGACATGCTAGGATCATGTAACAAGAGATAAGGAACCATGGCCACACATCCACTATCATTAGCTCTTTCTTAGACCATCCAGCCCCTCCATAAGACAATCCAAAAATGAGCAGATGACCAGCAGACACCCCGCATACACACGGTATAGGCCGGAGAAAAGGAGAAGCAGGTCAGATGCAGTTATATACGATAGATAGCCATCATATATGTATGTACCTAACCTAACCTTATGTATGTGCGTGCAGAGAGAGAGAGCGTGGCACTTACAATAGTTAGTGAGATAGTGAGATAGTGAGATAGTGGGGGCCTTAGGCCAGCGGGAGGCAAAGAGGAAGTGAATGAATTCCCCACCTTTTCCTGCTTCTGTCCCTCTTCTGATCTTTCTCTCTCTTTCTCTCGTTCGCTCTTCCCATCTTTTTTCCCTCCTGAGCTTTTTTTGCCCCTCTTGAAAAAAAAATATTATTATTAAAATAAAATAATAATAAACAATCCCGCCCCGCCCCGCCTTTTCGTCGTTTTCGTCTGACTCTCTCTCTCTCTCTCTCTCTCTCTTTATTATCGGGTAATTAAAAAATCTACCTACCTACACCTTACACCACTTTACCTACCTTACTTGAATCGCGGAACAATATTCTAATCCTTTCTCTCAACCTATCAGAACTTCAATAAATCCAAATAATCACCATGTCTGACGTCGAGACCAAGCCCGACCCCACCACGGCCGCTCCTGAGGGCGCTGAGAAGAAGCCCGAGGAGACTACCCCCGCCACCACCGAAGCCGAAGCTCCCAAGGCTGAGGAGCCCGCTGCTGAGGCCCCCAAGACGACCGATAGCGTGTTCTCGATGTTCGGCGGTGGACCTAAGAAGGAGAAGAAGGAGGAGAAGGAGGATGATAAGGAGGAGCCTTCTGGGTCTTCGAAGGTGAAGAAGGGTGAGGATGTATGTCACCCCCCCTCTTTGTATTTTTATCATGGGTTGCGCTTTTTTATTTTCTTTTTCTTTCGTGCGCTCAATCTTGAATATCTGCTAATGTGTAACAGGAGGAAGCTCCCGAATCCCCTGACGTTCACTTCGAGCCCGTTATCCGTCTGACGGAGAAGGTGGAGACCAAGACCAATGAGGAGCTTGAGGAGCAGACTTTTAAGATGCGTGCTAAGCTGTTCCGCTTTGACCGCGAGAGCAAGGAGTGGAAGGAGCGTGGCACTGGTGATCTCCGCCTGCTGAAGCATAAGGAGAACCAGAAGACTCGTCTGGTTATGCGTCGTGATAAGACTCTTAAGGTCTGCGCTAACCACTACAGTACGTCGCCACTATCCTTGAGATGAAGGGAAGAAGAGAATGCTAACAGCAATAGTCGTCCCTGACATGAAGTTGAGCCCCAACGTCGGTAGCGACCGCAGCTGGGTGTGGAACGCTGCTGCCGATGTCAGCGAGGGCGAGCCCGAGGCTGCTACCCTGGCCATTCGCTTTGGCAACAGTGAGAGTATGTATCAAAGTCTGAAATGGTTGGATGTTATACTAACTTGATACAGACGCCAACCTCTTCAAGGAAGCCTTCGAGAAGGCCCAGCAGGAGAACGAGAAGATCCTCGCCCAGCAGTAAATCTGCAACCGAGATACGACACGCCCCGTGTGTTTGGGAGGAGCAATCTAATTGAAGATAATGCTCTACTTGACCCTCCCTCCCCTCCCCCTACCCCTACCCTTCCCCTGATCTCAACGAGCTAGTTCATAGTTCGCATATGGAATCATCGTTGTTCACCTATCCCCTTCCCTAGCATCACTTCCCATAACAAATTCCCCCCATCCTAATTCCCACGAGAAAACAGAATAATGATGCAAGCCGATGAGACCACGAGTCGTCATGGGTAGGATCGACCTCATGATGTGGATGTTGAATTGAATGTCAGTCGTCTGGGCGAGATGACAGTAGATAGATGCCCTGATCCCCTCGAATATATGGATGAAATGCACGATTCTCATTATTGCTTGGAATATAAATCATAAGAAAAGGATAGAGAAATAGAACAGGAGGTTTATTGATTTTGTAATTTTTTTTTTAATCATATTTTCTATTTTTCTTCGTATGTTGGGGAAGGGGATGCGAAGAAGCATCAACCGTTGGATGGATATAGAATCACTCGTTAGGAGGGAATACGATGTATTCAAGATGAGATGCATCAATTCTATTATTTCAAAGAACATCGTAAGACAGTCGAAAGACGGACACCGGCATGGAGAATCTGCAGAGAAGATGATAGATTGGAGAAAGTCCCCCACTTGTTGACGCAAAGCTTCCTCTTCCTCTTCCTCCATCTTTCATCCCATCCCATTCCTTTCCTTCTTTCTCTCCCTCCCGCCCTATTCTTCTTCTCCCCCGACCCCTTTCATATCAATCTTTCCTCCTTTTTAAAAACAAAACAGTTACCTCCGTCTGAACTCCCACCCCGCTGGAGTCAGTCACTCGAGGTACCTACAACCTAGTTAAGGACCCACTTTTTTCCACAAGCCTTGCCGACCAAGATCCAACACCTAAGTTACCTACCTCTCTCGCCTTACTGTACCTCATCCAGTCGCGCGATCGAGAACACAATCCCGACCTGCATTAATTAACCTCTAGAAAACCACCCGTCCCTCGCTCTGTGGATTCTGGTCTCTTTGCGCGATTGATTACAGTGCACTCTGTTGAACAAAATGCCTGACGTGAGTTTCTTGGTTTGGTGATAATTCAGTGGGCGAGTGAGCAGGCAGACAGGCAAGCCCTTGTGCTGCTGCTGCGCCTGTCAATGCCGGGGGCTCGTGATGCTGTTTGTCGCATCTTACTGACGCGATCTTTGTTCTTAATCTATAGGTTAAGAGAAATGTTCGACTGGTGACGGAGCAGCATATCTTGTACGTTTTGAACCTGATTCCTTCCTCCTCTCCTCGACCCGTTTGTCGGCTTCGGTTGAGAACAGCGCTCGCTGCTTTTTCTACGCCCTTCGATCGCTGTTTATTTCTCTACCCTTCCTTCTCTCGTGTATTGTCGCGTGATTCGGGCGTCGCGGGTCTCACCCTTCATCAACACGATTGCGGAATACTCAGTGTCTCCCCATAATGGATGGATTGGATGAATACTGACGAGGCGCGTCTTGTCGGATTGCAGAAATAAGGATTCCGGTGTTGAAGGATTCCCGCTTCGGTCTTGGTCGATTGAGATTTATCTCGTCAATGATCATGGCGAGCAGGTGCCGGCGGGTGTCTTTGATAAGGTGACATATCACCTTCATCCTAGTTTTGGGGAGAGGGCGACTCAGGGTATGCTTTTTTTTATCTTCTTTACTTTCTTCATTCTCGCAGGTGTCATATTGAGAAAGAGGAGAGCCTCTGTGGCGGTCGCTAACTTGTTTCTATCTGCACAGTGGTCAAAACCCCCCCGTTCCGGATCCAGGAGGAAGGATGGGGTGAATTCGATATGCAGATTGCCTTGACGGCTGCCGACAAAGATCACTTTGTGACGCACGATCTCAACTTTGCGCAGAACCGCTACGAGTCTAAACATCTCATCGTGAGTGCACATACACCTTTGTCCTCTTCTGGCCAACGTTGCCATAGTCCAATGCTCACCAATCCACCCCTCAACTCGGCAGACATTCAAAAATCCCAAGCCGGCTCTTATGGCCTTGCTTCGCGAATCGGGACCTGTGCCCGGTGATGAGAACGGGGTGAAGTCGAAACGCGCGGCTCCCGGCGACGAGGGATCGAAGAAGAAGAAGCGGACGGAGAAGAATGTACGATCAGAACCCCTCTAACCTTTTTCTCTACTTTCTATGGTTTTTGTCCATGCTAACACTCCATAGGTCGATATGGATAAATTGGCCGACGGCCTCCAAAGACTCGGCGAAGATGACCTTCTCCAAGTGGTCCAGATGGTCCACGACAACAAAGCTCCAGACTCGTATACCAAGAACGACGTTGAACGTACGTACACTATTTCCGCTTGCTACACCGGTAAACCAGGCCATTGTACTAACCCTATCAATCAATCCAGAGGGCGAATTCCACGTCGACCTCTACACCTTACCAGACACCTTAATCAAGATGCTGTGGGACTTTACCCAAGAGAAGGGGGCTCTCTAGTTAGTTGAGTTGAGTTGAGTCGAGTTGAGTTGTTTAAAAAGGTGCGAGTGGGGGGGCGCACGCATCTTATGGGCGTTTATTTTATCTTATCTCATTCATTTTGATTTTCATTTTTTATATCTTTAAATCCCCGTCTCAGTTTTATCTATTTGTTTTATCTCTTTTCATTCTGGTTATTTTCTAATTTTTTATTTTCTTTTTACTCTGTTGTTTCTTTATCTTTACATTTGTTACATTGTTTAGTACCCTACCTACCTACCAACTGATTCCCTTGACTGTAATCTGTCTTCTCTATTTTTACCTCTTTTGGCCTTTTTCGTTTCGTGGGGAGGAATGAAGTGAGTGAGGAAGGGAAACAGACAAAAGCGAGCGAGAAGAAAGGAAGAAATATCCATACTATCTATCCAACAAGCCATATATCTATCCATCTATACATCCTGAAGATGGAAGAGTACAAGCAAAGAGTGAGTGAAGTGTGATTGATGATTGATCTTTAGAGGGAAAGAAAATAAAAGAAAAGAAAAGTCAAGTGGATAATCATAATCTAGTCCAATATCACATAACATACAGAATACTGGCAAGGAAAAGTAAACAAACAAGTAAATGACAAACCCATGCTGGATATCTCAGCTTCAACAACACAACAATAGTAATAATAATCAACACTGACAAGGCAGAAAGACAGGTAGGTAGGTAATCAAACAAGGATGTGGATGTGCTTAATCCCGTTTCGTTTATCATCTAGTTCATATCATCTAGATAAAACATGACGAAAAAAAGAAGATAGACAGGGGTGAAAGAAGACGAAAACACCTCGGATTCTCATGCGTACGCATAACCCAGTCACGGGGTAGGGACGGATGAAGTCATGTGTCGATTCAATCAATCAACCAAATCAAAGACGAGGGAATCTGTGATGCCTTTCAAACTGGGTGATTCTCAGTGCAGACAGGGAGGGGGGTATGGGAGACCCCGGCGCCACCTGCTGCGCTTCAGGCTGGGACCGTCCCTGGGACGGTGGGTTGGGTGGGGAGAGGGGAGATCAAGGGAGTGGATGGATGGATATGATATGTATGGTACAGGGGTGTATTCAAAGAACGCGGTACCTGTAGTATCTAGTTAGCAAGGTTCATAGACGGGAGAATAAGGGTAGACATACGATTTGAGGAGATCTTCCAGTGTATCCGCGGTACAAGGCCGGCCCTTGGGAATCTGGGTCGCGATATCCACGATCGTCGCAAAGACGTCACCGTCCCTGTAGGCTAATAAAGCGGGGGCCTTGATGTGGTCCATCTCCGCGATTTCGTAATGCATTTTGACGAAGTGGATGCCGGGCTGTCGGCGCGCGATGACATCCAGGCAGTCTTCTACCTGTGCGCTCGCGTGGGACTAGATAGTGTTAGAGTAAGGGGAACTGGTTGTGAGAGGCTCGGTGACAGGTTCAGTAAACGTACGTCAGGATCATTCAGACAAACAACAACCACAGCATCAGACGGCACCTTCTCAATGGCATCCAGATAGCCTACAGCGTCGACGGTGTCGACGGAGCCGTAAACTTTCCGCCAGGGACTGTTCCGACGGCCGTTCCGGCCCTGCAGCTCCTGCATGCGCTCCTCGCGCCACTGACGTAGGAAGCGATCCTCGTCGTCATCACTTGCCGAGCCATGCGGGGGGTTCGAATTGTACAGCAGTGTCGCATCATCCTTGGAGGACTTGGACGCGCCACGCGCGTGGTCCTTGGATCGAAAGGTGTTGCGGAAGGAGCTCTTGCGGGCACGCTCGAAAGCCTGGGCGTCGGCGATGACACCCTTGGGCCCGGTGTTGGCGTCGTAGACTGTTCGAGGGACGTGGTAGGTGGCTGGGCCGCCGGCAGCCATGTTGGAGTCTTCGGGCTCGGAGACGATGGATTTGTCGGAGTCGTCGTCGGATTCGTGGTCGGAGACGTTGCGATCTTCCGGGTGGGAGGAGAACTTGTCGCGGTTGCTACTGACGAGCTGATTGAATTCTTCTTGGGCGGAAGACATCGTGAAGGAGGGGGTGGAGGGGTAGGACTCGGGTCAATTTAATACAATCACAAGTATGGTAGATGGTGGATGGATATTATTAGATATGAATCGGCAGTGTTGGGATCTGTGCTGAAGGGGTTTTTCCTTGGTTTCGACTTCTGCTTGATTCGGTTTAGAGCGCCTTTTTCTTCCTTTTTTTTTAGAAGATCAAATCAAATAAAATTAGAAAAGGAAGTCAAATACACATCAAATGCAGGATGAAATAAGGCAAGCGAAGAATGTGAGAGACGAAACAAGGATTAGTTGGTTGGTTGGTTGGTGGTTTCAGGTGCCTTTTTTTTTTTTAGCCTGCCTGGATTGGTTCCGCCCTTGACCCCTGAAGTCAAGCCCGGCTTGGTCAGGATTGAGGGATGAAGGATGAGGGGATAAGGCCGATCAGCTAGTTTCGACGGCTGAACAAGTGGCGGGAGATGAAACAATCGACCCAGCAGGAAGAGGACACGACCGAGGATCCGTCAGTGCACTAATCCTGGATCGAGGGCCCCAAGACGATGATCTTCCGTTGGTATTTCTCTTCTGGTGCCCAACGGTAATTTCCTCGCATGCTATTAATACTATCATTAGCTTGGTCTTCAGGTAGGCATGGCATTCTTCAGCATCTGTCCGGTCACTTTCTAGTCGGGCAGAAACGGTGTTTCAGAAGAGAGGGGATCCTCTCAGCCACTCTCGGTGTGCTAGAAGAGCCGAAGAAGATTCCACCGATTCCATCGGGCGAACTGACTACAAACGCAGTCAGGCATGGGCGATCTATATGCTGACGGACCAGATAACTATGATGATGCAATGCCAGTCGTTACAAAGTGAAACAGCGGAGAAACAGCGGAGAAAAAGAAGTGAAAGAAAGGAAGGAAGACTGGCGCTTGAACCGCGTCAGCCACGTGGACCAACGTGACCGACATCTACATCAACATCAACTCCATCTGCACACTCTGGATCCGATCTGACAGGACATGATAGGACTACAGTCTACACGAGACGTATCCGTATCCGCTTACCACGTTAGGCTCCCGGCAATCTGCGACAGCGGACTATGGATCGTGCATGAGACAAGCCCTACTTAGTTTCCTCTCCAGGTGGACCGACCTGTCATCCTTGTTTCACGGTTCCATCATCTTCATCATTCGGACCTCCACCCACTCAAAACTTGCATTTCCGGCTCTAGACCTGTCGATCCTAGATCCAACCGATCCTCGGCCTCGGACGTGCATCTGAGATGAGTAGGTCGTCCGTTCGATTGATGGGTTTGGACCGAGAATCGATCCTGCGCTCATATCGGCTGTGCCTTGATTCCAAATCATACGGTGGATATGGGAGAAGTCGGTGTTTGTTAGAAGTGTCGATCTGTTCGGGGGGCTTGTTTAAATGGGAAGGAAAGAATAGATGAATGAAGCCTGGTTTGGTTATTCCTCCGATGTTGGATGCTTCTGTGGGTATATGTTCACTCCCATCTAACCTCCGTCTGCAACTGTCTGGCTGGGTCGCCGCAGTGTTGGTTTTTTTTTTTCAGCGCAAGGGGACTTCTGGAACTTTGGGTTCCCGATTCAATTACCCCGATCCGTTTGCACATTTCATCCAAAGGTTCATCCGAGTGTCCAATAAACTCAAAGATACTATCCATTGTACTACTGATTACCTATTACACGTCTCGCCGAGTCTGCAAAGACGACGGACCAGATCGAAACTATAGGACACCAAGGCACAAAGGGGAAACTGGAATATACGGGGAGAACGGAAGAAAGGAAACATGGGCCGCTGAAAAGTAGTAAACACCAGGTCAATAGAAGCCGTCATCGAAACACTCAAATGGCACATACAACACCTCGGAGACAATTAATATGGGAGGACAGAAAACAATCAGAAGAAAAAGAAAAACTGGGATAAAAACAATGGCTTAGCCAGAACCATTCCCGACTTCCGTTCCCGTCAGTGGATGAAAGAAGAAGAAAAATACTACATATGGGGATCAATGAACAGACATCAAAAAGAAAAACCAACAGCAAAGAAGGAAAGAGAAAAAAGCTCCAGATGGAGTCGAAGAAAAGTCAAAAGTATGACAGGAATGTCCAAGGTTGGGAAGGAAAGGCTCCAAAACGAAATAAAACCACGCAAGCAAGAACAAAGGAAAAGGTGCAAATAGGCAAGGAATATAAAGCAGGAATAAAGGTAAGCTTGCAAAAGTCTTCACACACACACACACACACACACACCAGGGTGGACAGTCAGACATGCAGGTGTATCACTGCCTGCAGCCTCACAACGTAAGACACCACGCGGTGATCCCTTGCAAGGCAGAAAATTGGCAACATCGATATCAAAACCACCGTCAGTCATCCAGCATTGTCACTTCTTTGTGGTTCTTTTATTTTTTTGGTCTTTTCGTGTGGTTATTTTGGGCTTTCCAGGCTTTGCACTTGGTAGGAGGATATGACGACAGTGTTCGACCCAAATGTCTGAATCACCCTCTGTCAGCCCCTTGTCACTGGTCATTCGATTTTTTTTGCGTTTCGCGTTTTCTTGATGACGATGACTCCGCCTGGCTTCCCAACGGTGCATATTATGGAATAAGGCGGCCCACAAATTTCTGGTAATATAAATTATCGTACAATGGCGGACAATCGACCTATTGGTGCAAAAATAGAAAGAATTTCGGATAAGGACATTGCGAAAGACTGCGACAGGGTATCTTTTGTTTTTGGTTTTTGGTTTTCGGGTTTGTCGGTTTTCATTACCTTACCAGGCCCAGATCTTGAGCTGTTGGACAAAAGGATTAGCACACACTTGGTCACAATATCCGAGGAAGCGAAAAGGCAAAAAAAAAAAAAATCAAGGGAAAATGAAACAAAGAAGAAGAAACATACCAAAGAGTCCCAAGACCCAGTGCACAGACTAATGCCATCGTTGCTGACGCCCAGGCAGCTTACGCGGTTCTCGTGGCCGCTCAGCGAGCCCACCTTGTCTCCTCGGAGTACATCCCACACCTGCAGGAGGGTTAATCGAAGCCGTTCGAGTGGGGAATTCAGATGACTTACCTTGCACTCAAAGTCATCATAACCCGCAAACAGCAATCTGCCAGAGACAGAGAAAGCAACCGACGTAATACCACACAATATTTGATCGCTCTGTAGGGAATTTGGTCAATTCGTGTTAATGGCCGCTTATAGATATGGAAACCTACCTGATAGGTGTTTAGTTCCCGGTCGGCGCGAATGTCGAAGAGACGGCACGAGGTGTCGTCGGAACCAGTACCAAAAGCATTTCCGTCGGGGAAGAACTGGACAGCGTTGATATCCGACTCGTGTCCGGAGAAGGTCTGCACGGCCTTTCCGGTACGAATATCCCACAGCTTGGCGAACGCATCGCAAGCACCCGAGACGAAGATATTCTGGTTGGTGGGGTTGATGCTGATCGACATGACATCGCCGAGGTGGTCGGCGAATTCGGTCACCTTGGAGCCCGTCTCGATATCCCACAGCATACAGGTCATGTCGCCGGACGAAGTGATGATGCGGCGATCGTTGATGAAGCGGCAGCAGGACAGGTAGCCCGAGTGACCAGAGAGCTCGCGCGCGACACGGGTGGGACCCTCGCGGGAGGAAAGGTTGTAGATGGAGCAAATGTTGTCCAGACCACCGCAGGCGACGTAGTTTCCACTAGGGGCGTAGGCGCAGGTCATAACCCACGAGGAGCGCAGCGGGATGGCGTGGACCTTGTTTGTGGTGTAGGCGTCCCAGATGATGAGCTTGCCATCTTGCGACGCAGAGACGAGATGGCGACGGTCGGTAGACCAATTCATGGCGTAGATCTTGGCCAAGTGCCCCTTCAGTGTCCGACGAGGTTTCATTCCAATACGGGGTAATGCTTCGGTCTGGTTTTGCGCGACCTGACGGACTGTTCGGAAGCGAGTCAGCAACTCACAGAGGCAAAATCACGGCCATTGAGGAAAGCAGAGTGAATCAATCTCGCCGGTGGCCACCACTGGGGGGCTGCGAAGGGAGACAGGATTCCATACGGTTCGCGTCGGCTAACTCATCCTTTCTGCGCTTGATCTTATCCTTCAAGCCTTCAGCTTCGCGCCGGGCCGCGGTAATCTTGGCCTGCATCTGCTCGCCGCTCATATCGGCCATCTTGTCGAAGCAGGTCCCTGGAGATGGGGGGTAATGGCAATAAAAAGGCGAAATAGAGGACGGGGCCTGCAAGTTGGGGTTGAATGGACGGAAGCGGCGTCGTGATATCCAGGGGATTGGAGGGAGAGAGGGAGGGAGAAGAGGGGAGGGGGGAAGGCGGGTAAGAGAGAGGGCGGGTAAGAGAGAGGGCGGTCAGATATGGAGTAGAAGGTATTAAAGAAAGGGAGTGGAAAAGAGTGTGAATGAGAGCGAGAAAGGGAAGAGAGAGCGGGAGGAAGAGAGAGGGAGAGAGAGGAGAGAGAGTGAGAGCGAGAGAGGCAGGGAGAGAGGGAGAGGGGGGTTTGATTGGATGTGGAGCGAGTTATGGCGGAAGCGACCGAGCCAAAGAGGTTGTCGGCCCGGGGCAAGAATAGGTAGGAGGCAGTAGAGTAGTAGTAATAATATTAATGAGAATCAAGAGAAATCAATTAGAATGATTTGCCCCAGTTCCAAAGACCGGAATCTCAATGTTAGTCAGATTGATTGAAAGCGCCAATATCAAATGCACCAAATGGCAGCAGAAAAAGGGGAGAGACCGTCCAGTACGACTGTAAGCATAGAGGGTCGAAGGGGTGGACGGAAACGAGGAGATACTAGCTATATTGGGGCCAGTTGGTAAGACGAGAGCGGTGGCAGGACCAGTAGTTCAGTAGTAATAAATATCTTCCATAACTCTCATTATTATTATATTATTATTATTGTTATTTGAATCACTATTGTTGTTGCTATTTATGAAGAATAAATAGCAGATCCCTACGCTCTATACACTATACAATGTTCAAAGTTCCGATTCAATACGGAGGAAGCCGGATGATTTACCATGGTTTGATTTATTGCCTTTTTGATACTATCTTTTCACTTATTTTTGTATTCTATTTTATTCAATTTTATATTGAAATTCTGTCTATAATGACTGATTTTCTAGGTAAGTACGGAGTACTCTAGGTGAGTACCTACCTACTAAGTACTGTAGTGACGATAGGGGATGCCGTCAGAGGGACTAGACCCCCCCGGATTCCACCAATGACAACCTCCGTCCATGCGGGTAATTTCATGCCACTACGATGCAAAAAGTTAGACCTCCTCATTCTCGATGGGGCACCTTTTTAAGGGGCACGCCCGGTTTTTCTTGATTTCTTCTGCTTCTTATAATTATGGGTTTTTTCCCACAGAGACAAGACGAAAGTGGAGCATCGTCGGTGCAAGCCCCTGGCTCTGCCGGAATTTTCGCCGATGGTGACTTAGTCTTTACTCTTTGCAGAACTGTTGTCCAGGGGTTCTCTTCTGTCTCTATATCTTCCTCTCCCCTATATTATTTTCCCTTTTTATATCACTCTTCTTTTGAATATGATTATCTCTCTTTTCTTGCTTTCTCTTCTACCCCTCTCATTCACACATCTCCAAGGTAATACAATCGTGATTCCCCATCACTCCATAGTCCCTACTCAGATGCTATGGGGCTCAATCCACCCGCACTAGTAACTTATAATACCGACATCCGACTGTCGGCACGTAATATTACAGCGGATGGTAAGATCGCTCGCCGGATTAGGGATTCGATATGTATCATGTTGGACTATCACAATATGCGAATCCCCTCTTCTCCATCCACATGCTTTAAGCCTTCAACGCTCGCTCGCCTTGTCCCAGCTTGCTCCGGTCAACTGGCTTGCCTGGATTGGAGGTATCACAATTGTACAGTCTGGTTTTGATCCTTCCTTTGGGGACTGTCGATGGGGGGAAAAGAAAAGAAAATTCCCCGTCTTTGTATAACTATACTCCACTAAACCACCAGGAGTTTGATTGCGTTTCTTGGCTGTTGTCCTTGCTGGGTAGTAGTCCCATACGAAACAACTGGCTCTCTTCTATAACTAAGTTATGATCGCCTATCCGATCATCACCTACCTTTGTTCACTGTCCGTCCCATACTCTATACTATCTGCAAGGCCAATGGCATCTCACCTATATCCCCTATACAAAGACCTACCCATGGTTGTCTAAAGGTATACCAAACATCCACACGACCATCGCATCCTACCGCTACCTAGAGCGGGACAGTCCCGAATTTTGTTGAGGCGCTATCCACCAACCCGCTTGGTTCTCTACAATCAGATTCTACCGTATCGACTCCACTACCAAGGTGATCGCTTGGGATCGTGTCCGTCTAGTTTTGGAGCCCAGCGGGTGCCCCTCTAGTCTCTAGAAGATGGTTGGATAATGGATAGATGGGTGTGCTTGCTTCTTCACTTCGATGGTAATTATCAATAGCAGTTTGCGATTGAAGATTAGCTCGGTTTGCTAGGAGGGAGGATATCAACCTCATCCTTGCTCCACTGATTAGGGATGGTGGATGCCGGTGGTGATGTTGTTGGGATCTTCTATCCGGTGTTCCTTCAACGGCTTTGAGATCTCCGAGTTGTCATATTGATGGTTATGCCAGAAAATATGATCTTACGATAGTCTAATTGTACTGTTTTGATTGGTTCAAGGTGGATATACTTCATCCAGTGTCAAGGTATCAAGTTCTTGAATGGCCATGTTCAGCTGGTCATGTTTATTGAAGCAGTTGTTGGCATCCAATAGTATAGACCGGACTGCCCAATTCCCTTCCATACACTTCAAGTCACCGTGCACCGGAGCAAGTATATGGGAGATGTTCACAAGGAGGAAAACATACAGTAGACAAAACAGTATATGTGGTTGGGGAGGAAAAAGAAAAAAAGAAAAAAGATAATTAGCCCCCACGCGGGATCGAACCACGGGCTTCATCATATCATACACGGAGCGAACTTCGTACAAGTGATGCGGACTACCACTGTCCCATAGGGGCTTTCATATACGTAAGCGGGGCTGAAAGAGTTTTATTAAGGGCATGCAGTCATCTAAACAAACGCTAACATTACTCCATACTATCCCGTCGTTCAAGATGGGCTCATGGAGCTAGAAGCATGCGCAGTATATATTAGTTATTACCATCCATTACATATAGTATCAGAGGAAGAAAAAAAGATGTCACAGGACTACAGAGGATATTGAACATGACAGAAGCAAAAAGATTCAATCCTTAAAGAGGGAAAAAGAAAAAGATAAACCTTGCCCCCACACGGGATCGAACCGTGGACTTCATCATGTCACACACAAGAATCTTGTACGAGTGATGCGGACTACCACTGTCCCATAAGGGCTTATCGGTTAGATAATCCCTCCTTCGAAAGAGCTAAGTTCCAATAGCTGTCCGACCAGGCATCCGACGAACTATGCAACTTATGATATACCCCAGTACTGGTATACTTAGTGCGTTCTGGCTAATGCTTTCTTTCGACTACTCCCACGGCGCCATTACATACTGTTGAACTGCTTAACGTTGTCCAGTCAGTGTCTAGCTACCTAGTAGATCCCTCTGTACCCCAGAATAGTCCTTGTAGGGCGGCTAGAGCTTCCCCCTCATCGGCCGCGGTAGGGCGCCTACCAAAACATCAGAGTTTCTAATCATAGATTTCCAGAATAGCTCAGCGGCCCGTCCGTGCCATCCGCCAAGGATGTAAGACAAGGTTATGGCAGTGGCTGCTCATCCGTGCGGCATTAATTGGATTGGGTGGTCGTGGGGGGGATCATGCTCTACTTAATTATGTGCATATCCCATCGTGTGACATCCCATGATCCATCTGAGTTCCGCCTGCTTTTGACATGGGCGAACTGCGGGACTAACTGTGTGGAGATGAGGGGTCGAATGCCTCAGCTGTGTAATGATGTGTGTAACCGTCGAATCAGATCGCTTGTGGGGAGCTCGATCCAACGAGTTTGTTCGTCATATGCAGGGATGTGATTGGTTTGGGGTTGGAATTTTAGTTGTTGGGGGGTGTTGATATATTTTTGTTCTTTTTACTAATGATAACTCCATTTGCATCTGACTTGGATACTGTGCAGCTTTGGCCATACCAAGCTAGTTACCCAGTGACTAGTAGTAAACTGAAAGTGGGAAAAGTTTATATATATCCCTTGGATAACAGCACAATTCGGCAGGGATGGATGTTCGGGAATCAAGGACACATACATTGTTTCAGGAGTGTGATGGGCAGTGAGGATCACACCAGTGATATTAACCAGAAAAATATAAACATACCAACAATTCATTACCTCCTGACTCTATGAATACCTATTGTCACTAGGGGAATCCAAGTCGCTCCAGGTTGCGAACGGGTTACATGCCCGATGCTAGCTAGCTTACCCTTTTCGGACGAACGAGCCCGGAACTGTGCGGTGAACTATATAAGAGTGAGTAAACAGGAGGTTGGCATTGTTATGCTTCCAAATTCCCCAGCTAGGTATATTGTATATCCCCTATCCGAAACAGTCCAAGCCAAGAAATGGAACGTGTCCACTGGATTTCTAGGGATTCGTTTGATGCTTCCATGTGCCGAGGCTGCCCCCGTCGCAGTGGGTTTTGGGACCTCCCCAGTGGGTTTTGCAGCTGGTCATTGCTTCCCGATCTACAGCTGTATTGGTACAGGATCTTAGATCATCTGAAAAAGGGGGTATAGGAATAGACTAGTCTCAGTCATAAGAGACTCATCCCTTGGGTTCAGGTATCACTGGTGAGCTGATGATGATGGACCATGTTCCATTGGTGGCAAATTATATTATCCTCCACCTTGAGTTCAGTTCTCCTGACCAAGAGGTAGGCAGTAGTGAACCGATTCAGAATAGAATAACATCATCTTGATGGGGCTGTGGGGGTGATATCATGGTAATTATGGACCTTCGCAAGATGAATTGACTTCACACAACCCTAGACATGGTTCATTTTGGTCAGAATGTCGGTATAGTCACGAGTGGCTCAAGAGGCAAAGTCAGATGTTAGTGGCGGCAAGACCTTGAGTATTAATTTAGAGTATTATTTGACAATCAAAACAATATTAATTATAATATCATAATAATAGTAATTATTATCCTTCCTAGGCTGGAACGGCACATAATATACCGATAACAATAGTAATAAGAGAGAGCGGCGCCTGAGGCGCCTGAAGGACTCCGCTTTCACATTTAGATTGTTCTTTTTGCCCCCTCGTTTATCAGACTCAGAACACTTCATCCCCATTGGAATTAAGAAAATAAACAATTTTTTTCTTAAAAAAAAAAAAAGATAAAAATAAAGGACAATATACCTTGGATTTTCCATCTGATTAATTCTTATTATCACTGTTGTCTCCCCATCGGCCAGTTCCGGGGTTCCTCCTCCTAGTGAATCATTGTCGCCTCTAAACAACGACTAAGCAGACAACCCGCCTCAGGCTCTGCCAAAGTCTTGGCTTTCTCTCTCCCTTTCACGCCTCCTCAATCCGCTTCCAACCTTCCAACCAACCGACAACTAACCACACCATCTTTCATCCTTTTTTCACCTCCCCATCCAACTCACCATCGTCGTTGTTGTTTTTTGTTTCAACTCCTTACTTCATGAATTGGCAATAATCTAGACAAACGCACTTTTGCATTTTCCCATCCCCTCCTCCTTCTCCTCCCCCCCCCCCCCCCCCCCCCCCCCCCCCCCC